TTTGGGGTCGGCGGCAGAGGCGGCAGCCTTTAATATAAGGCCTCCATTGAGAAACCGAAGCCGACAACGGAATCCGAAGGCGGATCGAATCGGAATCGGGATCGGTGGGCATCGAACCGAAGCGAGGCGGAGGAGTCGAGAGGAGCCCCGGGTGGCGGGCCCTCGGAGGCGAAACCTCGTCGGAGGTGTGCTGGCGCGCCGAGCGCGCCAGCACACCTCCTCCCTCCCTCTTGAACGCCCGAAATGGGTACAGTGCGGGCGCGGCCGCAAGAACCCCTCGCAAGAAACCCAACCTTGAGAACCCAACCCTGAGAACCCTCGCAAGAAACCCTCGCAAGAAACCCTCGCAAGAAACCCAGCCCCGGGAACCCGTGCGCGAGGTGCACCCGAGGGAAAACCCGGAGCACCCTGAACGCAGCAGCTCCTCCAACGGCTGCGGGAAGTCACCGCGCAGCGCGAGGAGCGAAGAAACCCAGGGTACCCTGACGAATTATCCCGGCAAAGCAACCTAACAGCGATGTGTAGGAGCATATCTGGAAGCATTCCCCTTAAGATTCAGATGAGAATCCAGTTTTTTTTTTATTTTTTTTTTTTTTTTTTTTTTTTATTTTTTTTTTTTTTTTTTTTTTTTTTTTTTTTTTTTTTGCAGTGTTAGAATTCTGCTGTTCGTTCTCGCCATCGTAGTCGCATTCGCGATGAACATCTCATGGCCCAACTGCAGTCGCAATCACAGCCTCAGCACAGCCTGGGCCTCAGCCTCAGCCATCACCTCAGCCTCAGCCTCAGCCTGCCCTCCAGCATCAGCCCTCTTCGAGCCTCAAAGCCTCCAGCCTCCCTCTGCCTCAGCCACACCTGCTTCAGCCTCAAGCCTCATCCTGCCGTCTCCTCAGGCCTGCCTCAGCCTCCGCCTGCCACAGCCGCAAGCCTCACCTCAGCTGCCTCCAGCCTCAGCCTGCCTCATCTCAGCCTCTTCAGCCTCACCATCAGGCTACCTTCAGCCTCGCGGCCCGCGCCTCAGCCTGCCTCAGCCTCAGCCTCAGCCTGCTTCAGCCTCAGCATCAGTCTGCCTTCAGCCTCGGCCTCAGCCTCAGCCTGCCTCAGCCTGCATCAGCCTCAGCCTCAGCCTCAGCCTGCCTCAGCATCAGCCTGCCTCAGCCTCAGCCTCAGCCTGCCTCAGCCTCAGCCTCAGCTTCAGCCTCAGCCTCAGTCTGCCTTCAGCCTCGGCCTCAGCCTCAGCCTGCACGAAGTGGCCTACAGTTAGCTCCGGGCATTCAAAATCATGCCCAGGAATGGAGTTCTGGGAACTCGAAGACCACGAAGTGGCCTACAGTTGGCTCCGGGCTTTCAAAATCATGCCCAGGAATGGAGTTCTGGAAACTCGAAGGCCACCCGGGCATTCGAAATCATGCCCAAGAATGAACTCGAAGAGCACGAAGTGGCCTACAGTTGGCTCCGGGCATTCAAAATCATGCCCAGGAATGGAGTTCTGGGAACTCGAAGAGCACGAAGTGCGTTACGGTTGGCTAAAAAAGGAGTCCCGGGATTCCCCCGGATCCCGTCCGGATCCCGCCCAGACCCCCCTGGGGAGTCATGATGCTTTCTTTTGACAC